GCTTTTAAAATGTTCCATTTATTTTGAACTCACGTTCATTGTCGGTCATTTCTCTGACCTCGCTCACAGTAAACAATATTCCACTCAATCTCCAGCGCTTGTCCCAGTTGAAACAGCTTGTGCCCGAAGGCCACACAGCAGCAGGACTGTCAGGGCGGAGGGAAGCCTCAATTCTCCGGCATTTAGCCGTCAAAGAGGCCACCCCTCAAAAGCTCTATGGCCTGGAGCCTTTCGCAAAGGCTCCGTGTGAGTGCTACTTGAGGTAGCACCCCCCCATACCGCTGGTGTGCGAGTCGCTTCCCCGAGGTCCGGGGAAAGCGACCTCCATCGCTGATCCGCAAACCGGAAGTCTTCTTTGTAGCATTTTGAACATGGTTCCTGACAGGCAGCTAGTAAACACTTTCTTGAAGTTTTAGTGGGCATTTGAAATAAGTATTCATTCACTGCTTCCCTGTCCTTCTTCATGGATTTGTGGAATGAAGGAAATACAAAGATAAAGGCTGAACGTGAACATAGAATGCCACTGTAATGAACCATTATCTTCACTTTGTGTTCTGGTCTGGAATTACTTGCGAAAGTTGCTAGGCCTTGCATGGGAAGTGCTTGAGCTTTTATGTGTCTTTGTGGTTTTGTCCTCCTTCAGCCATGTCATGAAATCACTACTGTGTTCTCCTTGCTGCTTCATTCTTGCCTTGAGGGCAGTCCAGCAAAGAAAAGAAAGGCTTTTACAACTGATCTCTCTGCTGTCTTCTGCTCCTTGATTCCATGTTGGGGAATGCCCCCATGACCTGTTACTGTTGTTAGTAGTGAATTTCAGATTCCAGGAGCACCATAAGTGTTGGGTGAAACCAGTGTAATGTTAAAAACTTGTCTGGTTCCAAATCCTCTCTGCCTTGAGTTTAAACTGTTGTCTTCACAGATGCTGAATGTCACTGGCCTGACACAGAGTTAAACCGACGGAGGAAACGCTTCTGTAGCAAAGTGGAAGGTTATGGCAGCGTCTGCAGCTGTAAGGACCCTACGCCTATAGAGTTCAACCCTGAGCCAGTGAGTAAATTCATACTCAAGCTCTTTTCCTCCCCTGCTGCTGCATGAAGAGAATGCATGAAGGTCTCCTTCTTATTTTCCCTAAGCAACTAAGCCACCAGCAGTGAGAACTAGACATGGCTTGAAGTAACTAAGCCTTCTCTGAAGCATACCAAAATGCATAAAGTGTTCTCTGTGTTGGGAGGAGACCATTATGTTGTGCCTGGATTCCGTAGCTTTCAGCAATATTCATCTTACCTGCAACATCATAGCAGTTTCTGAAATTTGAGTTTTTAATGGATGCTCAAACTGCATTGCATCATTGTAAAGCTGCCTAAACATGATGCAGCATGGGCTAGATACTGCTGTGCAACCCCCCACCCAAACTCTTGTGATATGTACTTGTCTGCCCAGTCTTCTCCTGTTTACCCCTTTTGCCATCTTTCAGTCTCACTTCCTGTCCTCAGAGGAAGGGTATACCTCCCTTCCTCGGAGACTGTTTGCTTACCACCCTAAGCCTTAACAACAAGGACCAACCAAAGAGATGCAACACCTCCTTTATATATGGTCTGTAGTAGTCATTAAGTATCTGTGCTTGTAAACATGGTGGTTCCTCTACTTCACCTTACAAAAGCAATATGGTGGGAAAGGCATGAGTTTTGCTAGCATTCTAGCTCATGGTCATATTTCTTCCTTTTGAAAGCTCAAAGACAACAAAGTTTTTGATGTGCCAGTTGCTGTCATTGCAGGAAACAGACCGAACTACCTTTACAGGTGAGTATGGGGCTGGGTTTAGTATGCTTCTTGGCTGGCACCAAGCAAAGGCAAAGAGCAAAAAAGGGGGGGGGGGGGAATCTTCAAACAAACCTCGACTGTGTGTAGTATATAACAATAAAGAGGAAAAATAATTTTTCTGCCAAACAGGTCCTTGGACACCTGGAGGGCATGTTTGTTTGGTTATGTATTTTAAAATAATTCTCCCACACTTGGAACCTATGCATGTGCAAAAGGCAGCTTGCTATCATAAAAACGTAGATATGCGCATTTACACAAAACAACAAGTTCCTTGATTTCCTATTGCAGGCGTGAACCTAAGTATGGAGATGATTTCTGCCAAAGATTCAGAAATTCAAATTTAGGCTGAACGGGGCTTCCAGTTAACAGCCTCTTTCTCTTTTGTAAAGTCAGAATAATATTTTTCCTGACATGTCCCTGTCTACTTTTCTGGGAAGGAGAGTCAAACATATGCCCTCCCCATCTGCAGCCTGAAGTGGTACAGTCCAAGAAAATCTTGGATAATTGGCTTGCTGAGTCATATATGCTAGGTTAGAGACAAATATGGTGGGGAAGATCATTAGTGAATCAGAAGGGTGTGGTAGGTGTGATACTTAAAATGAAGAGAAATTTTGGTAGTAATTATATTAGAAACTGGGTTAGATCATGAGCAAAAATTTTGAATGTATCTCTGGCAGGATGCTTCGATCGCTGCTGTCAGCACAAGGGGTTAATCCTCAGATGATCACAGTCTTCATCGATGGCTATTATGAGGTAAGATGGAGTGGGGGGTATCCCTCCTTTGCCATATCCTCTGCTTTCATGTCCATAGCATCATGTGGATCACTTTTTCCACCTGACATAAGATACCAATTTTGTGTGACGTCCAGGGGATATTCCAGTGGAGGATGAAAGGAAAGGCTCCCTGCCTCTACTGCCCTACTTACGCCAGTGGTTTATGAATCCCGCCCTTATGAATCCCCGTCACAGATTGCTTAAAAGGTGCCTTGTGACAGAGCCAAGAATAGTTTGATTTAATTCAATCCACTTGCTTGTAAAGTCTCAGGGATCTGATTCTGTCAGGGTGCAGCCCATCTGGAGAGAGAGAGAGAGAGAGAGCAACCCCTTGTCTAGGCTTCTGTGTTCCACAGATGCAAGGATACCTGCCTTGATGAAGAAAGCAAGTGTGAGTGTGGAATTAAAAATGGTTGGTGTGTCTGATATTGAAAAGAAACTTAAGCTGGTCCAGACTGTGGCATCTAGGCTATTATAAGATCTGGCCTGACCCGCAGCCACAGCATTGCTCACTCTGGTTATTAGTTCGGCAGCCTGGTTTACACATGTAGGAGAGTGGGGTGGCAGGGACCTGAAAGGCTGAAACAGTGAATTGCTCTGCCTCAGACTCCAGGTGGGGAACTGCAGCTTCAGATGTTCCTTCGCATAACAATTTCCCTGCAAGTAGAGACTTCTCAGCAAGGAAACCACGCGTGGGGGGGGGGGGGGGAGAGAGAACCCTTATCCCTTCTGGCTGGTTTCTATTTGTGGGGAGATTTTTAATGCAAAGGAACATTCAAAGATGGAATTTGCCCTTTGGAGTCTGAAGCAGAGCAGTCCATTGAACCATCTCAGGACTCCTCCACCTCATTCTCCTGCTACTTTTTGCACCCATTCAGAGTCTTGGTTTAAGCTGGCTAAACCTGGGATACTTAAAGGAGCACTTTCTTTCTTCCTCTTCCCCCACCCCATGAGAGGCCCTGGGGCAAGTACCTCCATTTGCAGACTTAAGAATGATGAGGGTGAAGAGGAGTGAGACCTTTTTTGCAGTGGTGTCCTGCCTATGGAACATTCCAATTAATTCAATTCATCCAAGAAGTCAATTTCCCCCCCCCCCCCCCCCCCGGGATTTAACAGGAGGCCAGTTAATTGCACTGTTAACATCTATATATGAAGATATATAAAAGAAAGTCCCCTCACCGTAAAATCAATGCCCAGGCCAAACCGCTGGACATAGAGACACCAAATTTGGGGAGAGCGCTTGCTAAGAAGGGATTTTTAGACATTCGACCTCTAAGTGGGTCAAAAGGGGGAAAATGTGCTCCCCCCATTGATTTCTATGCAGCTCCCAGGCAGCTGCCTCCCTGCACCCCCCACTCTCTGATTGGTCAGCTGCAAGGCTCAGTGTTCTGAGGTAAAAAAAACCCAACAGTTACAGGGGACCGCAGACAGCTAATGACAGTTGAGGAAATTAGGAGTGGCCAACAAGCACCTGTGAGGTGAAGCAAAGCTGCTGGCCCAGCCTCTCTGATGGCTTCCAACACACTCCTCCCCCCATCTCCTACACCTAACAGGCAGTTGTCTGTCAGATGCAACCCCACCTCCACTGTGGCTTCTAATACTCCTCCCCCCTCCCCCTCCTACACTGGACAGGCAGCTGCCTGTCAGGTGTAGGAGAGGAGGTGGGGTGGCTTCCAACATACTCCCCCCACCTCCTACGTCTAACAGGCAGTTGCCTGTCAGTTGCAGCAGCGGTTGCAGGGTGCTTAAAGCCACAAGGGAGCCTGCCCCAGCAGTAACGCCTTAGTGATCCTGCCAGCCCTGCCTCCACAGTGGCTTCTAATACTCCTCCCCCCTCCCTGTCCTACACTGGACAGGCAGCTGCCTGTCAGGTGTAGGAGAGGAGGTGGGATGCTTACAGCCGCCGAGGAGGTTTGTTCAGTTTTTTTTCATTGCCATTTGGCACTTTTGGTATTAATGCCATTAGCAACCTACTGTTTGTTTCTAGAAGAGCCTTGGTCAGCTGAATTTAAAAACAAAACAAAACAGTAGTTAGTTGAGTAAGGCCCCCTGACTACATCTGTAAGGTAGTGGCTTTGTACTTTTACTTGATTTCTTAGTGAATAAGCATCTTCATTGTTATACTTTGGACTACTGGACTGGAGAAAGCTGAGTGCTGGTTACCCTGTTCCTTAAAACAGCCCAAGAATACCTGCACATTCCCAGTAGTGTTAAAACAGGCAGCTTGGGACTGGTTTTAACTGTTTTCTGTTGCTCCCGGTGCAACAGCTAGGTGTAGACTGGGTTTCAGTGAGCCTTTGGGACAGAAGTTGACTTTGCTTTTTCCAGCATAGGTCTGGGTTATTTGCTTGGTGAGGTTTCATGCAACATATATTTGGGCTCTGTGATGTATGCAACAGAACAGACAGTTTTTATTCCTTCAGAGAGTCAGTAGTCTTTAAGTCTTTAAAACACTGTTGCTGGAGCGACGGTTACAGCTCCCATGAGATTTGAAAAGCATCTTGTGACTTATGGGAGGGCAGCAGGGACTCCAGTTTACTGGTACAAGAAGAGGTTGTGCCTGGAGCAGGGTTTAGGGAAAGCATATTCTGGGCTTTCTACCCTCTGAGTTTTATTACTGGTCTCCAGACTACAGAGATCTGTTCCCCTGAAGAAAATTGTAGCTTCAGACATTGGAATCCATGGCATCACATCTTCTCTGAGAACCCTCCCCAAATCTCCAGGAATTTCGCTATCCACAGTTGAATACCCTATGCTGTAATCACTGTTATACAAGAAAGGCCCATTGCCTTCCAAAAGTTCTTTACAGACCAGAACTGTGTTTTACTGAACCCCAACCTCCTAATGAGTGGTTGGGCTCCAAAATAAAGCATAAGTATTAAATATATTTTAAACAAGCAGTAAATGATATTCCATCAATACACTGCACTGAAAACAAGATAATGAATACAGTAACAGATAGCACATAACCATATAATGTAGCCAAGTCTATAGACTTATTCCCTTCCTTGAAACATCTCCTGAATCATTCCACTATAATATAATTCCCTGGCACCATTATAAAAATGCCTTCCTGAAGAATAGTGTTTTGCATAGTTTGTAGAATGCCAGAAGTATGGGATATAGATGGTTCCTGACCCTTAGGCACAGCATTCCACAAGGTGGGGGCCACTATAGAAAGTGCAGGTGTGCAGGCAGTTGTTGGCTAGCCCATGAGAGAGTTGCATGGATGTGTACATGTCTCTGAGAGACACAAGAGAAGGAAGGCTAAATGAAAGAGGAAAAGAGAATGAAAGATAGTAAAAGGAGAAGGCTTGGTGATCAGAGAGAGGGAGTTACATTGGAGAATTGGACAAAAGGGAGGCTGACAGGAGAGAGACGTTGGAGGCTGCAGGGCAGTACCCAGAAGCAGTGTCAGAGGAATGGGGAGGAAGACCGTGGGGACCCAGAATCCATAGTGAGAAAGAGGGAGAAGTTAGATGATAGCTACCATTCTTGCAGAGGTGTGAATTCTGTATCTTCAGTGGCAGAGGTAGTTTATATGAAAAAATCTGACCTGGAGTGTACAGCCGAATCCCAGACATTATATACTTAATGTCCTATCTGGGGGGCGGGGAGTTGATAGTGGAGTAAATTTTATGATAGTAGCGTGAAATTATCTTTGTTTTTTCAGGATTCAACTAACTCATTCCCTTTGCCAATATTTGTTTGGGCACATAGTTAACTGTGACCTGAGTTGTGTTGATACCTTGATTAACTGTTTGCTTACAGATTGACTGTTTGCTTACAGATGTGTTAAGACTCAGGAGATGAGTTTTTGTCTTTGCAATTAGCTCAGGAAGGAGACTAGGTTGCTCTCTTGGATGTGTTAGACATTAGCTTAAGAAAATCCATTTGTTGCCTTTGTTACAAACACTGACCATTTATTGTGGCTAGAATCTGAAATTCCTTGTGTCTTCTAAACTTGCTCTTCTGCCATTCTTACCCTTACTTTGTTTTATTTCATTTTATTTACTTCATTTATACCCCAGTTTTCTCCCCAATGGAAACTCAAAGCAGCTTATATCGTACTCCACTCCTCCATTTTATCCTCACAACCCTGTGGGGTAGTTTAGGCACTATGTGTGTGTATGAATGGCTGTAATTTGGGACATATTCAGATAAAATATTAGGTAATTATCTTCCACTTCAAACTACCATTTTTATTATGTTTTTATTAAATGAAACAGAGTACAGTTGTTCTGAATTATCTTTGGTAACATCTGAAGCCTGTCATGTTCTTTTTTCATTGATTGCTAACAGGCTAATGGAGTATGTGAAAAGGAACAGGTCTCCCCTTGGCTTAAAGAACCTCAGTTACTAATCTTGTATGTTGTCTTCTCTTTCTAGGAGCCAATGGATGTGGTAGAATTATTTGGGCTGAAAGGAATTCAGCACACACCTATCAGCATTAAAAATGCCAGAGTCTCCCAGGTGAGGGTCTCCTTTCTCTTCACCCATTGGAATCATGGCAGTGTCTCCTTGGTAGTAACCATGTTGCTTAGCTGCCTGGGGCACCATAAAGAATTTAGTACCTGCAACTGGCCTAACATAGACCCCCTGGCTCAACTATGTATTTGTTAGATTTATTAGCACTTAGGGTGGAAAAGTCAGGAATTGTTCAGCAGCTTAAATTGTTCACCATCACCTTATGCTGTTTTTAAGCTTTTAGGTTATTATTTATATTGTTTTAGTTACTGCATTTTATGTAAGCCGCCCTGAGCCTGCTCCGGAGGGGAGTGTGGGGTATAAATCAAATAAATAAATAAGAATAACTTTTTCACCACCCTCACCTGGATAGCTCAGGAAAGCGCAATGTCATCAGATCTTGGAAGCTAAGCAGGGCCGACCCTGGCAAGTAATTGGAAGGGAGACCTCCAAGGAATACCAGGGCTCCAGAGGGAGGGGAGGCTATCAAGCTCTGAAAAATATCCAAGCCCCCAGTAGAGGTTGCCAGAAGTCACTGTGACTTGTATGCTCTTTAAAGTAGTACTTTGTAAGCAGCTCCTAGCCACTCTTCTGTATATAAAACAGGTTTCAAGCGAGACCCTATTCTATATAACATTTTTACGCTCTCTTTTTCTTTTCACAGCACTACAAGGCCAGTTTGACTGCAACATTCAACTTGCATCCAGTATGTGGAGGGCCTTTCCTCCCCTTTCCTTTGTCCTATTCTTAGACAGAGCCTATTCACTCCAAGCTGGAGAACTCTGCTTTTGTAATGCTCATCTATGGAATCACTGGGGGATGTGTTCTGGTGACTGAAAGAATAATGCTCATGATAACCTATTGTGGAGGCATCTTAAAAAAAAAAAAAAAGCATAAGCAGCACTGACATTCTGTTTCTGAAAATGCTTTTGGAAACTCAGGACTTTACGGTGCTTGGAGCAAATGATATCCTCATACTCTGGTCGGGACCATCTAGTTCTGATAATGAAGCAAAATTATTGGTAGACTCTTCTGGAACCTCACTTGTCAACATTTAGATTGGTGCCAGTGTGCTACTGGGAAGAATGAAATTGTTGACTTTAGTATTAACTCTTGAAGAATGTTGTCATCATCACTTGGGTAGGAACATTACCCCTCCTCACTCTATTCTCTTTCTGTATCTTCCCCTCTTCAGGATGCCAAATTTGCTGTGGTGCTGGAAGAAGACTTGGACATTTCCATTGATTTCTTCAGGTATAAGCTGATTCTGTAGCCAAAACGCAACTAACCCGGATCCCATTTTTTCCTGTTGTTAGAAACACAAAAGGGTTTGTAATCCTTTCCCTAGCCCCTCCAGAGAGGAACACAGAATCACAAAAGAAATAGCAGTCAGTCAGGAGTATCCATCTAATTACTTTAATGGGCAGTAAAGGGAGGCAAACTCAAATTAACATTCCAAACAACCTTCATTTATTACCTATCTCGATGCAAATTCCTCGTTGGCCAGAGTACTCTGGATTCACAATCTGCCATCCACCTAAAACATACCAACACTTTAACATGACCCCCCTCCCATCATCATGGATTGCATGTTCATTCTAATTAGCTGTTTAAGTATTCAAGTTGTGTCAGTAGGCTTGCCAAGTCCCCCCGCCGCTGCAGGATCAGGCCCCGGGGGGAACCCCACCCCCAAAGTACACGACGTGCACGTCACCCGGAAGTGACGCGACCACGCTGGGGGCGGGGCCATGGTCATCTGAGGGAAAACTATGGATGGTCATGGCCCCGCCCCAGCGTGCCCAGCATGGTCGCGTCACTTCTGGGTGATGGGGTTGCGGCGTGCACGCGCTCCAGTAACAAGCCGGGAGCCCCCCGCTCCAGCAGCAGGTAAGACTTGGCAACCCTATGCGTCAGGTTTCATTATGCATGTGTGCTTGTTAGTGTCTATGTAAGTCAAGGCTATTCCTTGCAGTCCACATTCTTTTATGCCTCCCTCCCATCTTATTTCTAGGTTTTGCTACTCTGTGGTATTCCTCAGGCAAACTTATAATTCGGCCATTGTTCGCATTGTTCTCACATTTACGGTTGCTTTCAGCTCATTTTAACTATTTCACTTCCATCACTGTTAACACGAAACTCAGGCAGGGCCTTCTTCTTTTTCAGTATGACCAAACTAATTCTAGTTGATGTACTACATCTGTTTGAGAAAAACTAGTGAAAAAAGGTGTGGGAGAGTGGTTTAGCTATTGAGAAAAACAAACTAGTGAAAAAAGGTGTGGGAGAGTGGTTTAGCTGTGTAGTCTTGTAGGGAGGATGGAAAATAGGGCTTTTCCAACCAGCCTCATGATCACAAAAGGGTGAAAATGAATATGGGACAGGCTCTGTGACCAAACTGAGCATTTACTTCAGTCATCCTTTGTGACATCCCTTATCCATTCACAGAGTGACTGCCATCCTCTATAACCTCTCTTATTCAAGTTATGGATTATAAGAGAGTCAGGATGTCAAATTTGCCACCCTTCTTGTTTCCTTTAAAATCTACAGAGCGTCAAGACCATCTCACACTTCAGGTCCTCTCTCTCACTCCCAGAGACATCCACAGACAGGGTAGCCCTGCCCCCTTTAGGAATCAGCCCTCACTCACATAGAGCTACTGGGTTGGGGCTCAAACACTGTTTCAATCACTTTCTGCCACCATTCATTCATATCCTGTAATATATGTAGGTAGACTGAGATACTGTGTGTGTGTGTTTCATTCCCTTGGACACACAGCCCACAGGGTTAATCAAAACAAGAAACTTTTATGAGATGAACAAAACACTGAGGAAAGTAAAGTACAAGTAACAACATTTCATTTCTATTGAACTTTTGAACAGACTTCCTATTCCTACAACTGGGATCCTTTAGTTACAAATTTACCATTTTCAGCCTGCTCTAAGCAGCTCTTCTGCACAGTTCCCCTCAGTCAGAAAACCCTTTTCACCTCCGCTTCTAAGCTGTTAACTTCTCTGCTGCTGAACAAAAAAACTGTCGTTTTTAACTGCTATTTTTCCAAAAAACCCACCCTCAACATTCCTCAGCTCTCATTGGCTGTTCTTAGGGAGAGGCTGAACCCATCCTGTCCATCACATCCTTGTTATCCATTTGATCACATGCCTAACTTTTTTTAGATCTGCTCATGTTACTGTGTTTGCCCATTGCTTAACTGATCTGCTAATCTTGATTTTGTTCCATGTGCTATGTTTTTGTAGAACATAAGGCCAGTGGGATAAGGAAGCCACCAACCTTGGTGTGGGCTACTGATTGGAAAACCAGCTTAACCAAGGTTGACATAAACACAGGCTTCTTCCAACTGTGTTTTTGTTTCTTCTTTAAACAGTTTCCTAAGTCAGAGTATTTATTTGCTGGAGGAAGATGACAGCTTGTATTGCATCTCTGCCTGGAATGATCAGGTGATTTGGTATTTCATTACCCTTTTCTTCCCTTAGGACTCTCCCTCCTGTTCAGTGTTCAGCAGAATCCTCTGTACATGCACAGCCATGAAGTGCTATCTACTGGGGAGGGCTTTTTAAAATACTTCTTTTTGGGCACTTAGGGTTATGAGCACACAGCTGAGGATCCTTCCCTCTTGTATCGTGTGGAGACCATGCCAGGCCTGGGTTGGGTGCTGAGGAAGACCCTCTACAAGGATGAGTTGGAGCCCAAATGGCCAACACCAGAAAAGGTCAGTATTGTCTCTGTTGGGCTTATCTTATAGAACAGGGCCTGATTGTTTTCTTAAATTCCCAAATGTTGGGTAGAACACTAAAGTGATACTCAGTGACTGAACTCCACACAATATCACTTCTTGCAACATTAGTACCTGTTTATTTAAAAGGTCTTCATGCTACCTTCAGAATTTTCTTATGGAAACAAAAGTGGGGGGGGGGATTATTTATTTATCTATTTATTTAATTTATACCCCGCCCTCCCCGCCAAATAAGACTCTAAAGGATCTCTAAACTTATCCCAAGTTTTGTTACCCATTGTAAATTTCACTGGAAGGACTGGGGAGGGAAAATGTCACTACTGAAACATTTGAAATGTGGACTCTCATCGTGTGAAAGGTCATGAATGAGAAACGCTACAAAAATCCTAAATTCATGTTTGAAAATGTTCATCAAAGTTCTCTGCTCTCTTCACAGTCCATGTTATTATAACTTGTAAATCTATGTGGTCCATGCTGCTTGGAAGCATACCTCTTTGTGAAGGACATCTCTTATAGGCATACTCTTGTGCCTCTAATTTACAGATGGTTGAGGCATATTAGGTGGTTGGATTTGGCAAAGGGATTAAGCAAACCACAGCAGTTTTAATGATGCACATAAACAACTTACCTCATTTATGCATTTAAAGCTACCATGTTTTCCATTACAGCTTTGTATACTTTTACCTGTTTATGGGTCTCAACTCAATCAGTGGGGGGCACTAATTAAATTAATTAAATTAAACTGGTTTTCCCTTCTGGAGCTCCTTACCCCCCCCCCACTCCCCCAGGAAGATGCACTCTGTCTGCTGGTGTGCCAGTTGAAAAAAGTGCTGCTCCAGGCTGCCGGGCTCCCACAGCAGCTGGCATCAGCCTCACCAAGCGCAGAGGTGGAAGGCCAGCTCAGCGCATGTGTGCAGCCACGGCAGCCCCAATGCCAGCACCCCACCAGCCATCATCAATCATTGGTTTCACTGGCAGTGACTGCCAGCCAGAGAAGGAGTGGGAGAGGAAGAGAGGAGGGCTCTCTGAGCCCCATACCTTCCTTGTGCCCACAGTGCCTGGAGAGGCATGGCGCGGCCCCTGGGTCCACTCTGCTGTGGTCTGTGGGGGGCACTGCAGATTCAATAGACAGCGCAACCCCCAGCACACACACTCCCGCTGGCTATGCGCCTGCCATGTATTCCACGTATCTGGAGTTTCTTAAATGTTGACACCTGAGAGTAATATGAATGTTTTGAACGGAAAAGGTGCTCTTCCCAGAACACATGGTTTTTGCTTGAATGCATACACCTGAAGCTCACTGCAGCCAAGCTCTATAATAAATGTAGTTTAAGAATAATATGGGAATGTTTGATAAATACTTGAACCAATCCTGTGACTGCAATCCAAGATAGATGCAAGAAATTTGAGTTTCGAGTTCCAAAGAAAACACTTGAAATCAAAGGTGGTTCAGGATTCTGAGACATCAGACCCAAACCAGTGTCTCTTTTCCCTCCCTGGTGGTGGTCTTAATAATGCTACAGCCAGCCCTAGATTAGCCCAGCTACTTATTTATTTATTATTTCTATCCCGCCCTCCCCGCGAAGGGGTTCAGGGTGGCTCACAATTAAGGGTTATTGCCTAGAGTTGATCTCTGTCTGTCTGAGCATGCCACACATGAGGGTTTGGATAGTCACTGGATGATGGATGGGAAGTGTTGGACTAAAAGGAGAAATCTTGCTGCATATTGGTTTGGTGTAGTGGTTAAGTGTGCGGACTCTAATCTGGGAGAACCGGGTTTGATTCCCCACTCCTCCACTTGCACCTGCTGATGTGACCTTGGGTCAGTCACAAGCTCTGGCACAGCTATTCCTGAAAGAGCAGTTTGTGTCAGAGCTCTCTCAGCCCCACCCACCTCACAGGGTGGGTTGTGGGGAGGGGAGGGGAGGGGAAGGGAAAGGAAAGGAGTTTGTAAGCCACTCTGAGACTCCAAGTGAAGGGCAGGGTATAAATCCAATCTCCTCCTCCTCTTCCTCCTCATATCTTGTTCTGCTATTCCCACCTACCTTTCACTTGGCATGTCAGGAAGAAGATTTGGGGGGAGGGGTTGCAGAAAACACGCTATTTCCAGGCAAATGTTTCTTGCATTGTGCTCCTCTGTTTGCTCTGTGTTTGTGCCTCCTTCAGCTCTGGGACTGGGATATGTGGATGCGCATGCCAGAGCAGCGGAAGGGCCGAGAATGTATCATCCCTGACGTATCGCGTTCATACCATTTTGGCATTGTGGGTCTCAACATGAATGGCTACTTCCATGTGAGTAACTCATACAGACCCACAGAGAGAGCAGGAACCAGCTGCTATTGGACTAGATGCCCCTGGAGGTCCCTTCAAACTCTATGATTCTATGCTATGCCTAGCAGATACTGCAGCCTTCCGCTTCCGGATCCATTAACCAGGGCAATCTGTTAGCATCCCTTTTTGACTTCTCCAGGAAGTTAATAATTTGTGTTTTTTAAACTCTGCAATTGGGGAACAAACATGGTCACTGTTCAGCTTTTCATCCTCCTTGCTGTCAAGAGAGCTTGACTTGGCCAAGCAAAATCTAATCTTTACTTATTTATTACAAATATTTATATATTTGCCTTTCTCATAGGCATCGTGGGACCCAAGGCAGATGGGGGAAGCTGCCTGCCCTCCCTTCCACATGAACAAGCATTCATATGGAGTGATAATTAAATGGCATTCTAACATAAAAGCATTCATGCTGGTCAGACCAGTGGTCCAGCTGGTCCACCATCCTTTTTCATACATTGGCCAACCAGCTGCTCTTGGAAGGCCAACGGCTCTCCCTGTTTCCCTCCCCATCCCAGCACTGGTATGCACAGTAGTTCTGCCTCTGAAGATGGAGATTCCATTGCGTTTTCATGGCTAATAGCCACTGAAGGATCTATTTGCCTTGAATTTATCCAATCTCCTTTTAAAGCCAGACTAAACTAATGGCCATCACTGCATCCACTGAATTCCACATGATAATTCCTCTCTAAGTGATGCCTTCCTTTGTCTATCCTAAACCTATTGCCCATCAACTTCATTGGGCACCCACAAATTCTTGTATTATGCTCATTCTTCCTCTGTAGGGCTTGTTTCTCTCTGTAGTAATTCTGTCTTTAACGGTTTCCGCCAATTTATCTGGAATAGACATCAGATGGCTTGTAACTTCCTGGATCTCCCCTGGATTCCCCTTAAAAACGGATGCTCCTAACAGCACCTTGGAAAGGAGGCTGATTTTTAGCAATACTGTATATTTTTGCTATCACCAGGTGTGTACTATCGAGACCTGATGACAGAGTATGAGTCCAGTAGCACCTTAAAGACTAACAAAATTTGCAGCAGGGTATGAACTTCTGTGAGTCACTACTCACTTTTTCAGATGGTGACATTGTTTCTAATTTTTTTCATTAATCCTCTAACATCTTCACATCTGCTTGACTTGGTTCTTCTGCCCCCCTTTTCCAAAAACAGTGGCTCTAATTTGGGGTAGCTAATCTAGATTTCCCACAGTGAAAACAGATGCAAAGATTTCATTCATTTTTCTCTGCTGTCTCCCTGCCTTGGCGATCCCCCGCTATGTTGCCCACACATGCCCTTGTTTCCCTGGCCAGTTTTCTGACTACATCTCTGTGTGCACAAGGCAGCACATCTCTGGATACCCAGTTACAGGACAAATAAGTCTGAGCTAACCCCTTGATACCCAACTTGATATTGCTTGGATGCATCTGGTTGGCTGCTGTAGGAAAGAGGACAGGAGTCGATGAACCTTGGGCTGATCCACTGCTTTGTAGACTCAGTTTGATTTAAAATGTCTTACAAGCCAATGAAGTGAATAAACTCAACACCAGCTGCTTATGCAGTAATCTGTTGAATAATATATTTCTCCCCCTATAAAATGCGTTAAGTGCTGGTGCACGCAAGAGGTCTGCCATGTAGAGCCCACATTGAAGTCCTTGCTCCAGTGGCCACCACTGTAATGTGCAGTTGCTCACCATGGTGGTGTTGGGGGAGGGGGTCTTCCTTGCAGCTATGACCACTGTTCTGTTGTGCACAGGCCCAGATTCCCTGCTTGGCTCACTGTGTTCTAAGCCAAGTTCAGGAAGAGATGAGCACTAAATCCTAAAGATGTTTTTTGTTCTTCATTTTTCTAGGAAGCCTATTTCAAAAAGCACAAGTTCAATACTGTCCCTAGTGTACAGCTTAAAAATGTGGAGAGGTGAGTGTGATGCATGTGTTACTAGTAGTCCATCCCAGGCTTGTTCGGATCTGGACACGCGGCATTCTTTTTGATGCACCTATCCAGTCTGGACTTGGTCACTTAGGGCCTCTGTATACGTTAAGTACACAGGTTGGGTCTATGTCACCCCCCACCCCACCCCCACACCCCTGTGTTAGGTGTAACCCAATCACATGTGAGTTGTGAGTTCTCCTCAATTCCTGTACACACAGTGCCCAGTTAGGATCAACACTGTAGTGCATGTGGAGAAGGGCTTCAGCCTTCCTTCCCCTCATGCCCATTCCCAGCTAGAAAGTCCCAGGGGGAGGGCTTCCCCCCCCCCACCCGGGACTATTTCAGGTTGATGAAATTAATGCTATTCTACATCTCTACTCCCATTTTAGTTATGTCTTCCCCATATACTTATGCTTTTTCTGTCTTTCTAACTCATTTCCTATTTAGAGGCCCTTGTATGAATCTAGAGTATTCTGTGGTTTACCCCCACCTCTCCTAATTTCCTCCTGTGCTCCCAGGTTTTTTATCTGTTGAGCAGCTAAGTTTACTGATGAACCTGCTGGATAGAAGTCATGAGTGGCCAGTTGGGGATCGCTGGGGTACACCTACCCCTTTGACTATGAAACCAACATATGCTTCCTATGCGTATCTACTCCTTGCTGCCTCAGAACATATGCAGAGAGCAAGAGAGAAGAGACTTGGGGGAAGGAGGGACCAATGGCCTGACTTGGTTCTTCTACCTAAGATGTTCCTCCCACAGTAGGGCCAAAGAGTGGGTGACATTAAGCATCCCTGCAGAATGCCTTCTCTAGTTCTGTGAAGCTGGACCTTGGCACACAGTCTGAACTGCCTTCAAATAAATCTTGTAACAAGTCTTGTACACATGCTTGCACATAGCAAACTCTCTTTTTTGCCACACAGCTTAAAGAAGGATGCATACGAGATTGAGGTTCACCAACTGCTCAGGTAACTTCTGTATTAGGGAATGACATACCTTTTTAGTAATGTGGCTTTGTGGAATTCCATCTCTTAAGTGGGGGAGGAAGAGAGAACCATCTGAGCTAGAGAGAAGTTCTGGCAGGGTATTTGTTGGCAGGCAGTGTCCATCTTCAGGCCCTTTCTATGCCAATTCTGACAGTAAGCTATGCCTGCTTCTGAATGTTTTTTAACAGAAGCAATATGTTTGCAATGGACATCAGCTATATGTAGGCCTTTGGACTGCTTTGGAAGTTTCCTAGGGAAGTCTGTATATTTTTATTTTATTTAAACCATTTTTATGCCACCTCTCCACCCAATCAGCATCTCCAAGACTACAAATCGACAAATGTATTATCTCTAACTGTATGAGAAAGTAAGGGTATGTTAGCAGGTGGTATAATTCAGGTGTATAAAACAGATCCTGGAGACTTCTTGACCAAAGTTATGGGTGGGGGGGAGATCTGACAAACTGAAGCTTTAAAGACAGACAATTCTAGGCCCATCCTGCAGGCTTACAGACTGGGTTGTTCATTTTTTTGGGAAAGATTACTAGATTTTCCAGTTTGGTCACCAAACCAATGTTTGATCTAAAACCTCTGCCTCACATGTTTGGTCACCCCCAATATCAAATACAACTTCTACAGTTAAGCTGCTTAAGAATTCTTGGATTGTTGATTATGCCTGTGAATGTGCCTCTATATTGGAATCTTTTGATTTCTGTGTTTCTCTTTCCTTCCTCCCCCCAACTTCATCAGTGAGGCAGAGGTTTTAGATCACAGCAAGAACCCCTGTGAAGATTCCTTTGTGCCAGACACAGAGGGAAAGATCTATGTGATGTATATCAAGATGGAGCAAGAAGCAGATTTCACTACCTGGACTCAGCTTGCCAAGGTAACTTCCAATCTTTCCTTCCAACCTATGATATAGAATGTAGAAATCTCCATCATTAAATTGCATTAAAGCTGCATATAATTTCCCAGCCAATGTAGAAAAAAGCTCCTAATGGCAGCCTCACCATTTCTAGATTACTGTGAGATCTAAGGAGCTTCCACTGCAGTTGACCCAGGTTTGCTGGCATGTTGCTTCTAAACTTTCCCCTTTCCTCTGCTCTTAGTGCCTCCATATCTGGGATCTGGATGTCCGTGGGAACCACAAGGGACTGGGGCGGGTCTTCCGAAAGAAGAACCACTTCTTGGTAGTAGGAGTTCCTGCCTCACCCTATTCGTAAGTGTCCTCCTTGGGGAGAAGCTGCTTCATTAAAGGCCATTGCTTCTTTAAAGGCCTTTCTGATCCATTTGGAGCCAGGTGACTTAGTTGGGGCAGCTTCTCTCCTCACATTATTCTAGTGTTTCCTCAATGAGCTGTTGCTTTGACAAATGGCATTGATGTTGATGGTTCAGGGAAGGAGCAGGGAATTTTCTCTGATCAAAAGGCAAGCCTTGGAAATCAACCATAGTAGTTTGATTCTGAGAGCCTGCAGAGTATGCTCACCCCTATTTTTGGTCTTTCTTACCCAAACTCTTTACCCCCCCCCCCATATGTATTATCTTACCATCCCATGTTATTGCAGAGCTTTTTTGTTTGCAAGATTGAACATTGTACCTACAATGGTTTTGCAGGGGAAATTTTTGAAATGGCCCTACATGACAGAATTTGCCCTTGTGGCCTTAATAGGATTGATACATCCTTTCACTCCCTGCTGGATGCAGAATTTTTGAGATTATGAGAGATTACTATATTAAGCCTTTATTCAACCAATCACCCCCCTATACTCTGGAAACTCTGGCTGTTTTGCTCAGTGGTAAGATCCTAAGATCACTCTAGCAATTGCGAAATTTGTCTCAGCCCTCTTGTTGTTCAGTCGCACAGTCGAGTCTGACTCTTCACGACCCCATGGACAAGATCTCACCAGGCCCTCCTGTTTTCCGCCGTCCTCTTAGCCCTTGCTAAAAAAAGAAAAGAAATATGTGTCTTCTTCTGCTCAAGATTAGTGGATCAGTGAGCTTCTAAGGGTACAAAAGGAAAGGAGGGAGCAGCGCAGAAGCATCTTGTTGAGCACCAAGTCCATTGTCACGTTGCCATTGCCACTCTATGCTAGTGCCTGTTCATCCCCTCTAAAGCTAAAAATAAAAAAGCAGAAGTTGTAGAGAACTTGGCAAAATATAATGATTCTTGTATTTTGCATTAATACATAGGGATGCATCCTGTGTAATATTTTATCATGTTTGGTGGAAATACAGCTGCTTGGCATTAGAATTATTTTTTTTCCACCACTATGCATCACAATTTACATATGATGGGGTATGTCCTTTTTCCAGCACAAAGGTTATCTGAGAGCTTCTTCTCACACTGACTCTGTGTGCATCTGCTACTTTTCATATTTTAAGGCTTTGCTACATGTGATCTTTAATTTTAGTTTGCCAGCATCTTAGGCCTCAACTGGAAGGGTCTACAGCTGGGGTGTCGAACTGATTTGTTAAGAGGGCTGGATCTGACATTTTTGAGCCAGGCCACATGTGTCATTAAATGTAATGCCAGGTAGCAGAGATACAAACTTTATAAAGGACACAGACAAACACAATTAAAGATTTTTAAAAACTTTAAATAAAACTTGCTCAAAATACTAGTACTCTTGCAATATTTTGTCTATTTAACAGTCTCTGATAACTGACACCTCTTTGCTCTGAATTATTGCATCAAAATGTCTGTGCTGTAGCAATCTTGAGTGTGCTGTTCAGGTGTGCATCTGTAAGCTGCAAACCTACTTTTGATTTATTGACATTCTTTACAGAAATCTCTTGCTCAGTGTTCTGAGTCTAGGACCCAGGGGAAAACATGAAATACCTAGGCATTGTGGGCTTTTGTACATAAGTTGCTTCATGTGCTGGTCAAGAACATGAGAAGGCATCCTGACACAGACTGAGGGCCATGTGTTTGTCTACAAAACTATACTCTTCCCCAGAGAAATAACTACAACTTCCTACAAAGAAAATGTGCTGGGTGAACTTGGTCTTGACACACTCTGCCTAATCCACCTCACTGGCTTGTTGGCATTCCTCCTCCAAAATAGTTCACATTGCTTTCTTACTGAAAAAGACTGGCTCACGAGGGGGAGTGAAAAGGGGGAAGGAACCCAGTTGTACCCAGGAGAGCCAGTGCTTTACCAGACTCTGAGCCAGTGCTTTACCAGACTCTCTCAAATGCACAGGAGCGTCTTGCCTATATCTGTCTGTCCTGTGCGATTAAGAGAGTCTGGTAAAGCAAGCTGTGACATGTGACAGCAGCAGAACTGGAAAAGGAAACAGAAAACAGCCAGGGCCTTGTGGGCCAGATTGGAGCCCTCTGAGGGCCTGATCCGGCTCGTAGGCCACATGTTTGACACCCCCTGGTCTACAGAGTGCCTAACAATGCTGATGGCATGGCACAAAACCCTATAATCCACCATGTGTTCTGCATACATGTTTCCAGGGCTTTTTCGGTAGAAAAAGCCCAACAGGAACTCATTAGCATAATAGGCCACACCCAACAGCAGAAATTCATTACCATATTAGGCCACACCCCTGACAGCACAGCTCATTAGCCTATTAGGCCACACCCCCTTGAAGGGAAGGCAGTTTAAACTGCCTTCCCTTGGCTTGCCCAGGACGCCCCTTGGCTGCAGGGAGCCTGGGCAAGCCAGCCCTTGGAGGGGAGGGGAGGCAGTTTAAACTGCTTTCCCTTGGCTTGTCCGGGTGCCCCGCAACTGCGGGGCGCCCAGACAAGCCGGCCCTTGGACAGGCTGGCCCTTGGACAGGCTGGGGGAGACACAGGGGGGGCTAGCCCCCCCCAGCCTGCCTGCCTCGGAGCAGCGGGCAGGGTCACTCACCAGGCCTGTACTCTCTGTACAGCTCTCTGTAGCCTGTACACTCTCTATAGCCACTCACGCAGAGGTTTTGGCTGTAGTGGGCATGGCCAACTCTGAAGCCAGCCGGAACTCCGTTCCTGTGCGTTCGTGCCCAAAAATAGCCCTTCATGTTTCATTTTAACAAGACCATTTTAGAAGTTCTTTCGTAGTGTGTTTACCACACCATTCTGAATGCTTGGCTGTAGGCTAGGATTTGGTGGGAGTCACAGTTCCCTCTAAGCTGTGCTAGGCAGCACTGGTGCACATTTCAGAGGCCACCTCAGAGAATTTCTTCTGCAGCTCACAAACAACGGAGGATGGGGGGCACCTCCTTCTGGGACCCATAAAATTGGACCCCCTTTTTGAAACTTGGGGGGGGGTTGAGGAGAGGCACCAGCAGCTATGTTGCAAATTTGGTGCCTGTGCCTCAAAAAAACAGTCCCCCCAGAGCCCTGGATACCCCTGGATTGAGTCTCCATTATATGGGGTCCATTGACTATAATGCAGCAGCAGGTCCATCGGCTCTAATTGAGCCAGGAAAAAACTGATTTTTCTTGTACACCTCTATTATGTTTTTCAGTATGATTTGTAAGCTGCCTTAAGTAACAGGGAAAAGTAGGATATAAATATTTGAATAAATAAGTAGTTTGGGCAGGTTGATAACATTTAAGCAACTTCCTATTTGTTAGATTTGGCAGGGTTCTAACAGTGATTGTTCAACCTCTGTTATACTTGACCTGTGATGCTAGTTGTCATATTTCACTAAAAAACCCAAACCAAGTACACTACAAGAGTCTCTCCCCAAGTGCTGGTATGTTTTCTAAGGGTCAGCACAGGGTGATGGTCCAAGGTCAGATTTACCAATATAGTGGACTGGGGTGGATAGACCTGTTCTCCAGAGGCCAGGTCTATCAATTTAGTGGAAAGGGTTGGGTAGATCAGTTCTCTGGAGGACAGGTCTACCAATATAGTGGACCAGGGTGGGTAGATCTGTCCTTCAGAGACCAAGTCTACCAATATAGTGGACTGGGGTGGATAGACCTCTCCAGAAGCCAGGTCTACTCATATAGTGGAAAGGGGCAGGTAGACCTGTTCTCTAGAGGCCTGATCTACCCCTGTAGAGGGCAACATTTTCTTAATGAAATGTGACTTGATTTTGTTCTCTCTTATAATGTTTAAATTATTCTTAAAATATAGTTTAAAAGAATACATTCTGAGATTTTTACAAGGTAGAGTTTTTGATCACAACACTGTGGAGCTTAGAGGGAACATGGGGTGGGCAAGTTTTTCACAAGAGAAGAGAAACTTGATTCTTTGGCCACTGTGTGTGCTGCAGATGGTGGTTTAGTGCTTCATCTGCCTCTAGGATGGCTGTGGGCATTGAAAAGAGGGACTATGAGAGGTCCTTGAAGAATGCAAATGGCAAAAGAGAGCTGAAAATAAGTGGGAGGCAGTTATCAGGGAATGGTTGGATAGGTTCGATAGGGAACCATGCAGGATGTGTAGTCATAGACTAGCCACAAGCAAGAGAAGAGAGACCATCACATAGTGTTTTTGTCAGTACCACTGCTACCAGGTGGAGTCCTTAACTTCCACTTCCTTCCATCTTGTGTATCCCATTCATCGGTCATCTTTCTCCTTTCTTTTAGATTCAAGAAACCTTCTTCAGTGACCCCAATCTACATGGAGCCCCAAGCCAAGGATGAGGCAGCAGGTCCTGTAGCAGCAGCAGCAGCAGAGCAAACATGAAGCAGAACTTGCAGCATCATTCGGATTGCCTTTTCTGTCTGCTGTGAGAAGAGAGGCACAGGCAGCTGTGGAGCTCCATGGGGCTCTGTGTGTCATTTTGTTTGAGGGTCTTAGGAGTAGGGGGCAAGACAGATGAGCTACAGCGCTCCCCCTGCCCTGAGGCAGCTGCTGTTGAGTGTGGATAAGTTGCCCTGGGAAGGCCACGGCAGGCCCCATTTAGTATTTTTCTATGCCACTGCAACAATGCGATTTGTCTCATTTTTAACACTGATGCTTTACTAACTGTGGCCCCCTTTCCCCAAATTGGGGGCTGGGCCAGAGGGAGCTGTTTGAAAGGGATTGGTTCCTTTTTTTTAGGAACTCCTCCCACACCACTGCTTCAGGATATGTTTTTTTATTTATTAACTTCATGTGTTCAGCATACTTCTACAGGCTGTTTTGGCTTGCTTGTATTTCTGGGGGTTTCCAAGATGGGCATTATGATGCAAATCAAATCCCTTGAAAGCGTATGGGAGCGATTCTATGAAACAGATGAGCCAACCTACCTGCAGCTTAGCAAGGGAAACAGGTCACCTGCACATGAGGGGATGGATTTGTGTAGAAGGTGGAGGCTGCAACATCAGGACGCAAGCCACAAAGGAACTCCCATGTTTTCGCACTGTGGAATACCCCTTCCGAATTCTCCAGCTAGTTCTGTTCCCTTCTTCAGCTGGAGTCAGAGGGGCTTGCCAGGCAAGAAAGGGATCTTCTAGGGTCTGGCTTCTGTCTACCCATTAGGTTTTGTTGGCAAATGAAAGCAACCCTTCCTAGCTCCAACTCATGGTAAGAGGCAGACGTGCAGTGGCTTGCAAAGGCCGAGGATGTAGGGCTTGTTATTGTTACTGTTCTGTAGCCGCAGTGCGTGATGTTGTACAGGGTCCAGGAAAAGGGCCAAGGACCAGGTGCAAAAAGTGCCTTGAGTGAGCAACTGGTAGTCTAGAAGGCTTTGGTGTGTGTCAGTTCTTAAAGGTGCAGGTGAAAAGAAATGAATCTAACCAAAATTTTAATGCTACTTGTTTCTTTGGAAATGGGCATCTCAGGATTTAAAAATCCAAACCCAGAAACACAGTTGCCCCACCATTGGTCCTGTGTGCGGATGAGCTGTGACAGCGGCATGTCACTTCATAGGCTGTTGGCCTGACTCTTGGTGGTACGTGCCCATGGAGGGAACTTGCTCATGACCTAGGGAGTTGATGGGACTTGATTCTTTTCTTCTGACTTCTGCCATCTTTATTGCTTGATGCCAGGGGGTTGCTGATGCTTATTCCTCAGAGAGCAGGCATGTGTGTGCGTGTACCAGTTCTTCAGATGTTCTAGACTTCAGATTGGCAGTGTGGAGGTGATGGAATGGGGCAGCAGTTTAGGGACAGAAGGTGAACAGAGGCTTCCTTTTCCACATCCTGTGCCTTATGAAGTAAAGGGAATACTTGGATAGAGAATGTAATTTTCAGAATTATTCAGTGAACGATTAGAGGGATGGGAGTTCTTCCCTTTAAGGGACAGTTGGGTTCTAGTTCTACACAAGCCCTTCCATTTGGTTGATGCTTTTTGTTTTTTCTTTCCCCGCACAAGAGGTATAACAAGGAGGGTAGGCAAAATACAGTATTACAATGTTCATTTAATCCATCCGCAAGGCAGTAGTGGCCTCCATAGCTAAATTTCCATCCTTTGCCACCTCTCCCGGAGCTGGAGAAGTGTCTTGAGTTGGGAGTGCTGTGCTTCACATCTGCTAGCTTTTTTGTAAATCTTACTTCCTACTAGTCCTAAAGCCCTGTTGTTCCTATAATTGAGGAGGAGACCACAAAATCTTGTGATGGCTTGAGATGGGCTGTCTACTTTTGAGAGGTCTGCCCGTGAGTTGGTACACAGAGGTGACCTTTGTGTTTTTCCTCAGTCTGTCCCATGTCTTTTTGTAAGAAAACAGAGCAGCATGTGTTGACACCTTGCCTCTGACAGATGGGTTCAGTTATTAGCCACACACCGTAAGGTGCACATGAGACCAGCTGGTCCAGTGTAGTGTAGCAGGAACTCCTTTGCATATTAGGCGACACCCCCCTAATGTAGCCAATCCTCCAAGAGCTTACAGGGCTCTTCTTACAGGGGCTACTGTAAGCTCTTGGAGGATTGGCAACATTAGGGGTGTGTCACCTAATATGCAAAGGAGTTCCTGCTACAAAAAGAGCCCTGGCGGGTGTACGAGTATATCTTGGCCCTTCCTGTTGGCTTTGAAGTAGATGCACTGTGGAAGAGGTCATCTTCCAGCTGCATGATAAACATGTAAAAGTACAGCAGAGCCTGCTTGAGATTAATAGTGCCTTCCTAAACAGTTACAGCCCTCTAAGTCCATTGACTTTAATGGACTTACAAGGATGTAACTAAGAGGAGTACATGCAGCTTCTTCCGCCGGTTAATAATAACTTGTTTGTCTTCAGTTGCATTGTGTTTCATTGCAGGAAAACTGGACCACACAAGCTGTTCTTCTTTCTCCCATCCCACCCCCCAAAACCATTGTGGCAGCCATTTTTGCCAGGTACTGTGGAAGTTAATACAGGACCACTCTTCATGTTTATCAAAAGAACAGTTCCCACTTCTTCCCCATGTGTCTCCACATCAAGCAGCATAAAGTGGAGGAGCCACAGATACTACAAACTGGTACTTAGAAGATGTTCCTCAGCCAACCATTATTCCTCAGCACAAATTTAGTTTATATTCTTTTCAGACACATACATAACAAAGTGTTCTGCAGAGATGCATGGTTGCTGGATGAGAATTTTGTCTGTCCTATAATGTATAAAATGGTTCTCTTTATGAAGCAGCTAATCAGTGGTTTAATTATTAAGTGATAATATGGTACAGTTTTTGTTTTGTTATTTAAGACCATGCCACTCATAATTAGGAGTGGGGCTTTTTGTCAGGGGAGTAACCCATCAACTTAGCTCCACAAGACCAGCCACTAGAATGAACTACAAGCAACGCTATAAATATATTTCCTTTATTTGATAACAGGGAAGTTTGAAAGCCACCCTTAGCCTCCAGAGTGTTAATTCACTTGCTGTTTCTGTTTAGAGAGTCAGCAAACACACATCCTATTTATTTACAGGAACTGGAGTTATTTAATTTCATAAAGCACAGCTCTGAGATCTCAAACTACATGACAGGAGACAGGAAGGAAGAGTCATTTCTTTGGCAAGAGATCAGGAACTATAGGTTTCTAGGCAGTGAGAGAGTCTGGTGTGTTACATTTTCATCATGTAGGGTCTCTAAAAGATTTGATAAGGAAGAGCAGAGGACGCTTCAGAGAGGTATGTTACTGGGGAGATATGTTGGTTGCTTTCCATAGTAAAGCAGCAGCTGCCTATCTAGTGTGCAAAATTGGAGGGGAGCCAGGGCTATTTTTGGGCAGGAACCCACAGGAACGGAGTTCCGGCTGGCTCCCAAGTTGGCCACGCCCAGCAGGAACTCATTAGCATAATAGGCCACACCCAACAGCAGAAACTCATTAGGATTGGCTACATTAGGGGTGTGTGGCCTAACATGCAAAGGAGTTCCTGCTACAAAAAAAGGCCCTGGGTTTTGACAACAAACAAGGTAAACAGAATAACAAGCAAAAGGTGGGTGTGGCTGGATAACCACACTTCTGGTAACATGTGGGTGCGGCCTAATATGCTAATGAGCTGTGCTGTCAGGGGTGTGTCCCAATATGCTAATGAGTTCCTGCTGTTGGGTGTGGTCTATTATGCTAATGAGTTCCTGCTGGGCTTTTTCTACAAAAAGAGCCCTGGGGGGAGCCCTTCTGAAGTTATCAAAAACAAGGATTTCTTGGGTTCAGATGGGGCTCTCTTCCTTACATGTTCTTAAAGATCTATCATCTTGGCTTACACAGGACCTGGCACCCTAGTAATACACCATTTTTGCCAGCCAGAATTGATTAACAAGAAGAAACCATTTTGAATGGCTTTCTGTTAATGCTGGATGGCTGAAGAAACTCTGTAGTACTGATCTTCTCCTAGCTGCTTCAGTTTGTTCATCTCTCTAGTGCTGCTGACACGTCAGCCACTGGAAAAACTGAAACTGGTGGTTGTATCTGACTCTGGCTGTGATCCGAAACAATTAAGGTGGCTTTACTCTATTAGCAGTGCCCCGTGGAAGTAGGGCCCTTTCACCTGCAGAGTCAGTCAGGCTGCGTGATTCTGCTCCATTGTTTTTAAAAACTTAGAAAAGCAGCTGCTGGACAAACACTTGTCAGGGATGCTCTCCGGCTGATCCTGCATGGAGCTGGGGGCTAGACTAGATGGCCTCTTCCAACTGTGTGGTTCTATGAATTTCAAAATGCTGTGAGAAAGGAACATTATCATGCTCTCAGCACTGGTAATAGGTACAGCTTCTGCACTGCCTAACCAAATGCGAAACATTTTATGATGCTGTCGTCACAGATACCATGGAAACAATGACTTGTGGGGGGAAACTTGTATATTTATGCAAATAGTTTGCTCTTACAGGGTTGGTGAGTTTTAGTTTAGGGGTGAAGAAAATAGTGAAAAGGACTGATCTAGGTTGCGTTTTTCCCCTAGTCATAAAGAGCAAACATTGAAGAGTAGGTACAGCAATTTATAAGCCTTTCAGATTTTGGGTATACTCATAATGTTCCCTTGCATGTAAAGGCACAGTCCAGCTCCGTTTTAAGTCAGGTGGAGTTTTAACAGGACTGGAGGCCCATGGTGCTCTCTAACTAGACAGATGCTTGCTTACCTCTGACTAGAAGCTTCCAATGGAACAAGGTTGCCTTTCTCTGTGTTGCACTCAACACTTGCCATCCTTTGCATGCTTTATTGTTCAGCAACTCTCATTGAATTCATTGCAACTTATTTCTGAGTAAATATGCGTAGGATCAGGTGTTTAAGTACAGGGGGAAAATGGCTTAACTTTCCATTCACCTTTAAATTTCCTATTGTGCTGCTGTTTTCTAACATGTATAATCCTTGATTAAGATCTCCTTGTTCCTTTGCCAAAATTCACAAAATCCAGGGATTGTGCATCTCTGCTCTGGATCTGTACAAGCCCAGCAGGAACTGACATTTAAAAGCTGATTGGTTTGAATAGATTGACCTCTGCCCTTGCCATTAGGGTTGCCATCCAGGAGCATTTGGGCAACAGACTGGGGAAACTGCATTGCACCACACTCTAGGAATTCCCCCAATCTCTGTGGTAAAAGCCCTGAAGAAGAGGGGAATTCCTAAAGTGTCATAGCATTGCACAGCAGAATTTCCCCTCTCCTCATTTTACTCCTGCTGCTGTATTGAATGGGGGAAATACCAAAAATCAGCAAATACCGTGCTACAGACGAGTATAAAATATCTCAGATAATTTGTATATATTTTTTGTTTTATATTTTTACAATTTATTCACCATATATTATTTATCATATAAGCCTTAATACACAGAAAGAATCATATATCAAAACATCTAAATATCGTCTCTTAATAGATCACAAAAGATATTTCACTTTGGAGGAAGCTTTGAGCTCACTAAGAGAGACTTTTTGCAGCGTTCATTGAAAAATTTGGATAAATATTTTGGTATTTGGCAACCTTGTGCTTGGAAACTCCCTGAGGAAGACACTGAAACAGGAAGATAACTGGACCTCTGTTGGAGGAAGACTGAGCACTTATTCAAAATAGAATTAAGGAGGACTGATATTTATAAAGGGGTTGTGCAATATCTTTTGTGATATATTAAGCAATGATACTTAGATGTTTTGATATATGATTCTTTCTGTGTATTAAGGCTTATATGATAAATAATATATGGTGAATAAATTGTAAAAATATAAAACAAAAAATATATAAACATTATTTGAGATATTTTATAATCATTTGTAGCACGGTATTTGCTGATTTTTCGTATTTCCTACTTACCGTGGGTCCTATTTTGGTTTTGTGTATTGAATGGGGGGGAAGAGATGGAGAGATGGGAGGTCGCTGCTGTGGCGGGCAGCCTGGTGAGTCTACATGCCACTTATCTCAACTATAATCTTTCTAGCTGGTCCCTACTAAGGGTAGAATGCTGGGTAAAATCTGCTTGGTCCGATCCAGAAAATCAATCTGTAGGTCCTTATGCGATCCGGGAAGCTGAAGATTCAGTGCCTGAATCAGGGCTGCTGGGGGGAGGTAATAGGGGGACAAAATAATGGAGGCTAACACCTGCAGAGGCTGCATGCAGCTGGGCAAATCATGTGACTTTCTTTCATATGATATTTTAGTTGGGTCTTGGTGGTGTGTGGAGTAGCCCCAGAGAGCATCTCTTTCTAGAGGCTTATGGTGGCTCTTGGGAGCCCTGCTCTGTGAACAGCTGCACATTTCAGATAGTCTTGAAACATCTTGCATACACATGCCAGAACCAATGAGGAATCTTCTAATAATATCATCCCACCCATTATGATTTCTTCTGGTCTTTCTGCAGGTTCCCCAGGCATTAGAATGTAAAGCTGCAGTCCCTCAGAGGGCTTTGTTGGCAGCTTTTCAGAGGAAGTTACATCAGGACTGGTCTGCCAGTTCAAGAATACTATCATGGCGTTAAGCCCACTGAATAGATCTAGGTAGGATTCTGAGCAGACCTGCTTAGGAGAGCGCTCTTGATATTCTTGCTGCCTTTTGGCTCTCCCTGTACTCTGTCTGACTTCTTAAAACATTTCCTGGCTTTTCCTATGGTTCCCCTTTAAACAAACAAAAAAGAGATACCATTTAGGGGCTAGCTATTCCTGGGTGTTTGGGAAGAGCGCATGCAGCTGAGATGGGAGCTGGGGCTGCATGAAGGAAGGCTGCTTGGGGAGATCTAGTTGTTATTTTTCCAACAATAAAGATGGCAGAATGTGTCTCATATCCTTCGACTTCTCTGTTTCTATACACAATAATTTCTTGTACCACAAACAAAACACCATCTCTGGCCAGTAACTCTAGGCCACCAGCCTTTTTTGCTAGTTCTCTTTCCCAAGTGTATCCCTTTTAACTATTTGTGCCTACTGATATTCTCAAAGAATAAACTCTGTGTCAG